GGTTGACAAATGGTAAATTCTAGATTACATAAATTTTCATTCTCTTTCACAATTTGTTTTTCTTTCTCTTTTTTTTTCGATTTTGGTTTTTTGAATCATTTGATAGAAGAAGTAATTTGCTTGGTTTAAAATTTGGATTCTTTCATGTTTTTGTGCTCTCTTAATATTAGAAATTTTATTTGATTCTGTTAATATTTTTTTTTTCTGAGTTATTGTATATGTACTAGTGTTTTGGGGAGTTATTTGTTTATTTTTATGATAGTTTCAATAATATGAACGATATGATCGACATAATATTTTAGACCATTTTAAAAGAAGAATTGATGTGAATGTTTTCAGGCCATTCTTTTTGAATCTGAATAGTTGCTTACGATTTTTTTTTTGGTTACACAGTGTCATCAGACACGAATAATGATTAATTATCTTTTATATTGTATTATTATTAATTGATGATACCATGTGTCTTCGATAATGTGATAAATATTTACTTGTGATGACCGGGAGGAGAGACAAAAGGTGACAAGCACCTTTAGCATAGCATGAAATGAGAATTTAAATATTAATTTGGTGTCAAATTAATAAAATTAGTGTTAATTTTTATTTTTATTTTTGTCAAGGAAAAGTCATATATTTAAACACAGTCAGTAAGTACAGAAGTTAAACCAAAACAAAACAAAAAAAAAACACAACAAAAGAACAAAACCCCTCTGAAAGTGCAAGATACTCATCCTATCCCAGTCCTCATCTCTGATGATAGAATTCTTTGGAGAACAGCTGGAGGTCTGGTTACGCACCCAGTTGGTAGAAGATCACCTTTCTTCGGATTCGCAATGGTGTGAACCACTACATTAGCTGATTCCTTCACCGATCTAAAGAGAATTTTGGGGATACAGCTTACATAGCCCCAAATGCCTCATTGTATAGTCTCGATCTCTTGGATAATTGCATCTGACCCTTCGTTGATAGCTTCAATAAGGATCTTTGAGTCGGATTCCACCACCACTGCTTGGTATCCTTTCATAGCCGTTATTCAACACGTTGTTCTTATTGCTTTAACTTCAGCTACAAGTGGTGAACCAGCACATATATCATCCGCAAGGGCGGAGTCAGGATTTTTGTTTATTCCGGGCTAAGCTAAGCATTCATACGACTAACAAAATATGAAATGACAGTAAAACTTCTCAGTTTATTATATAGGTCTCTATCGACCTCAGAGAAAACTTTTTAATTTTTCCAAATAGAAGCTGTTTGTAATCTTATTAGGAACCATTATGAACTATTGAGCAGTATAAATTAACTGAATTGCGAATCACTCCTAGAATTTTAGTCACCAGATATTTGTAATTTTTAGAGTACTTTCCGCATTTGTATGCAAAATGAAACTACTCACAAAGGGCAACAAAAGTAGCACCTTAGCTAAATGACCTTTTTCCACAATTTTTTGAATCAAAAAATGTTAAGTGAAGCTTCTTATCTCATCTTTTTGCTGTAAAACAGAAGATAGAACAATAATTATTTGCATCTTGGTGGTGAAGTGAACTATCCCGAGCAACTCTTTCGGTTGTTGCAATGAAACTTTGATTGCCGCACCAACCATGAACCCAACAAGAGTTGCCTTGGAGAGAAAATCAATCACAAATCCTAACTTGTAAATTACTGAATACACATTCAATATAGATTCAAAGACTCATCCAGAACATTAATTAACAAAATCAAGATAGTAGTGAAATTAGATTTACTAAACTACTACATTGATTCTTTAAGCCCACTTGTTTCCTTTCCAATCATACCGGTACTAATAATTTTATCTTAGAGGTGTTACTCTGGGACATAACCATTGTTCTAAATCTTAAGTTTTTTATGATTTACAGTGATAAATTATACCAAAAGGCATATCTTTCTCAAAAGGTGTTTCCTTTTGGCTCTATTGAGAAAGTAATCTCCATTTGTAAAAAAAAAATTTCATCAATCCTCATAAAGCAAAATGGATATTGAACATAAAAAAAAGATCCACAATACTAAGTTTAGATTGCAACTAATTGTTTATACCTTAGAAAATCCAAAGCAGCCTAAAATAAACCAACAAAGAAAGTAGTAGTGAAAGTCAATTGAAGATAAAGAACAAGCTCCTCAGTATAAGAAACTGTCTCACTAAGCATTGTGCCCATGACAAGAGAGGCTATTGAGACTGGACCAACAGCTAGATTGAAATAAATCAGACGAAGCATAAACATAAATTAACCGAATCAAATTTAAAAAATAATGGAGTTTAAAATGCACAAATAAGTAAAAAAAAAAGAAAAGAAAAGGAACAGAGAAGAGTGGAGAAACCCTACTCATACATGAAAACTTAAGCATCTTCAAGAATCTTCTTCTTGCAATAGTAACAATTCTTTAGAAATCCCACAACCATCTCCATATCACTCTGATCAACACTCTCCTGTACCGAAGACGAGAGAGTCAGAATCTTCGGGCGCGATTGATCGACTTTCTCAACCACCGAAGTCTTCAAAATCTTATTCAGATGGTGTTTGCACAGAAGAGGGATGAGGGGAGGTGACTGAAAAACCGTCTGAGAGAGAAGAAACTAAGAAAGACCGACTTTTTTTTTTAGGGGAAGTGACTGAGAGAAGACATAGATCGACTGATTTTGGGGGAAGCTTTGCAGGTGGGCTGGGTTGAATGAGATTTTTTTTGGGGATGGGCTGGTACTTAATGGTAATTTTTTTTTTTTTTTACTCTGGGCTTCAGCCCACTTAGCCCAATAGTAGATCCGTTCTTGATCATCGGCCTCCCTATGTATAAGTAGGGGTGTCGATCATGTCGGGTTAAACGGGTGACGAATGAAAAACATATAAACCCATACACGATAAGTTTAATAAACGGATAAAAAATTTCAACACGAACACGACCCGTTTAATAAACGGGTAACATGACACGACGCGTTTAACCCTTTTAATTTTAAAAAAATTATTTCAACAAATTTTAATACTCTATTTTTTTTACTACTAATTACACGTACCTCAAAAAAGAGAAATTTTAAATCAAATCTTATGAAAATAAGACTTGAAGATTTTTTTTAAAAAAGCAATAGGCTATTGTCTTTTATAAGTAACTCACCCTCTCCATTTTCCCTCATTTTTCAATGTGGGACAAAAATAAAAGACATTGATTTGCTTTTATTTTTGAAGTGCTCTACAACTCCTCTTCTTTGTCTTTGAAAAATAAGACTTGAAGGCTTTAAAAGCAAGTGACCATTGTCTTTTATAGGCAATTCAACCCTCTCCTATCTCCCCTCATTTTTCAATATGAGACAAAAACAAATGACATTTATTTGCCTTTGCCTTTGAAGTGCTTTCCAATTCTTCTCCTTTGTCTTTGATCTACTACTTTACTTTTTTTTTTTACTGATTTTTTTACTTTTTTTTTCTTGCTAATTTTTTTAAATAATTATTAATTTATTAATTTTATTTAAACGGGTAAACGTGTGATAAACGGTTTGACTGATCTCACCTAAACACGACCCGTTTATTCAACGTGTTTGGCATGTCAATCCGTTTATCACCCAAACCGGTTAAGATCTCACCCAAATCCGTTTAATTCTTATCGATATGTATCGGTTAATCGTATCGTGTCGAATTTTGACAGCCCTGTGTATAAGGCTTCCCTCGGTATCCCTTACAGCTAAGCCATATGTTCCTTTTCTCGTCACTTCCCTGAAGGCTCCATTAGAATTGATCTTCTTCCATCCATAAAAAGGTGGAGGCCAAACTGTTTCAGACGAGTCATTGGTTGTGGTTGCTTTTGGTTTGCCCCTCAAAACTAGAAGCTCAATATTAGCTTCCAAAGCTTGATTTATCACTCTTTTGTGGCCATGGTTCCTGGTGGTTGTATCCCCGGTCACTCCTAGCCTTCCATATAAACCAGCATAGAAAGGTCATTATGGATTGATTCTCTTTTGCTCTTAGATTCCCTTTTTTGAATATTTGAAAATGGGTTGTGAGCCAAACCTCAATTCTCGAGATCTTACTCCTGTCAATTGTTACTTTCAAAGGTGAGGAAAGCCAGACCATCATGGCCCAAGGACATAGAATCAGCATGTGCTCCAAGGTTTCATCTTCTTCGCCACAAATTGGGCATATGGGATTGTTCACCAATTTCCTTTTCCATAAAATTCACTTTGTTGCCACCACTCCATTTGCTAGTTTCCTGGCGAGACATTTCTATCAAGTGGGTCCACCAGCCTCACTCCTAATGAAGGAATTAACAAATATCACAAGTGGGATCTGCTACAATAAATAATGGCAGGTAATGAGTGTTTTGACAATCTACCCCATGTCTATTTTCCTGCATTAACGGCTGTACAGGCTATGGTAAGGAGCTCTTTAATCTTTTCTATATGTATGGGTGAATGAGCCAAGAAAGGGGGGCCTCAAGTATGAGCACCTCGGCTCCATACTTACACACACATTTTACCATTTCTTTAATTTTACACTAGCCTATTCATGTGTTGATCTACGATACTGATTTAGGCATCGGAGGGGCCTCCCCTGGCTCAACGCCGCAGGTCCTTCTAACCTGTTTCTGTCTTGCAGCTCACGGATTGGATTATACTCAAAGACTAGAGGCGCTCCTTGAAATATCTCAAACTATTGCAGGATTTATCCTATGTAATTTGGCACCGTCTGTGAAAAACGAAGCATGCGTGTCCCAAAATCTTCGTATAACCCAGTTCGTGAGACTTGTTTGACCCTCGGGGTCATTGACATATCTCGTGTCTGCTCAAATTTTGAGTTTGGCCATTCTTGAAGTGCAGACTCTCTTATTCTATTTATGGGAATTTGTCCCATAGGCATTAGCAACATACAGATGTTCAACATTTCACAAAAGCATAAAGTTTGTGAATTTGTCCTTTAGTGCAAGACAATGTTCTGCCATGAGAATAACCCATCCCATATCAATGTTTCTTCATATTTGGCCACTCCACTATGTTTCAGTTTTTAGCTTTTGCTCTTATCAAAGTCGGCGTTATCATCAGGCACAACAAAGGAAACCATCGACAGTGCCATCAAACCGATAGAGATGGCGAATCGCCTCATACTCCCCTATCGAGATATATCGGCATTAAGCAAACAAAAGAGGCGACCGGTGTATTACTCAAAGATAAGTGTCTTTCTCACATGTTTCAACCGAGTTTGGAAAATATCCCCATAACTAGGAAGGTCCGAGACTGGTTTGTCACGCCGTGGTCGGTGCCATTGCAAGTATCACTACTAAAGACACAAAGGTCTTATGGATGGTCAGCGCACCCATCCAGAACCCATTGGAGATCGGCGTTGCCACTTCAGAGTCTTAAAGATGCAAACTTACCTTGGGTCTCCACAGACGTGAGGCGGTCCCTTAGTCACTAATTCAAGCTGTGGATGACCAAAGGTTACAGGTTAAGGCTCTTTGATACCCAGATGAGATTTCATCGAGCGCAACGGTCACATTCCAACCCCCTCAAGATCTTGGCCAGGGCATGCAACACATCTCTTGTCTCTGGACAAATGTAATGGAGAAGTTGAAATGTTTACAAACTTTAAAATTGGTTGGCGTGCCATCTCTTTGACTTTTCATAGCCACAAGCAGGTGTGTCACCCCGAGTCCCTCAGTGGTTTATGCTCGAGTTTTAATCATATTTGAATGAAATGAGAAAGCCATTCCGAGTTCTATTTCTCCCACAACGAGTTCCTCTATGCTCAAGTTAAAAGTGCAAAGTATTCATGAAGCTCGGAGTATCTCTGCTATATAGACAGCGAGGAGTTTGGCAAATTCAATGAAGCATTCTGCCCTCCAACCATGGACCAGTTCGGGACTAAGGGAGATAATGCTTGTCTTTGGCATCGAAGAAAGTTAGTGGTCGCGGAATCACTTGAACTTCTCTTTGGTTCTAAGAAAAGTAATTGGTGGTTTCACTCGGAATATGCTTGGCATGATTGCAATATTGATCGGCGCCATCAAAGGACAACAACACTGTTCAAATTAATCCATTATTGTGGCATATTATGGGGCTCAGGCTTTTTCTATATGCGGCATTCGCGGAGTTTTGTCAGTGAAAAGGCAGCCACTGTATTTAAATCTCTCGGTCTACCTCAAATTCTTGGGAAGTCTTAAAATGTAGCAGTTGGTCGACATCTCTAAAGAGGATCAATGCTCGGTGTTACGAAGAAATTTATTGGCGTCGAGTATCAGTCAAGAAACTATGTCACATCATCTAAAGCTCAATCTCATGTTCTCTACCCTACCATTTGAAGGCAATTGGGTCTTTATAATTGCCCAAAATTCACTGTGGTTGCTCGGCAAGAACTGCAAATATTTCTCTCGGCCTAAGAGTTAATGCCTTGGCAACAGTGTCAATGGAACGTAGAAAGCTAGTTGATCTATTCCCAAGTATTGAATTAATTTTTACCATCAACTGATAATCGACATCAACAACGAAAGCTATCGACATATCTGTGCTACAGGAAATCTACTCACTACCCACTAATTACCGAGGATCTAGCACTCAGGGGCCATATGCTTGGCATTTAGATGGTCCAGCCCTCACCCCAAAACCTCGACCCTCCAGACCCGAAAATGGTCGATCCAACATCAAAGGACCAAAGGGTGACCACTTGTTGCCAAATGTCGGCTTCATATGAAGCTTCCCCTGAGAACTCACAGAACATGTTTGTGACATGCAGTCAAATGCCAAGACAACAAGATTCTCTCTTCGGCATTTATACAACTCTGCAAGCATACAATCACTTCCTTGGTCTATCCTTCCTCGGCCTCTCTATGGGAGTTTCTTGAAGTCTCCTCGTGCATAGCTTGTACACGGGGACTTCCTAGGTGACCGGTCTATCAACTAACAATGGTTTAGTATGTCACCAAAAAGTTGGTCAGCAAAGCCGAGGGGAGGATCGATCCTTCATTGGTGCTCGGGCCCATGACACCAAGCATATGTCGGCCCATCATGGCATGAGAAAGGAGCTTGGGCTCTGCTAATATATCTCACACTCGGAGCTCATCCAATACAGAGATAAGTGCCACTATCTTTATACGGGTGAATTAATATAAGTTTTCACGTACAACTTTTACTATTCATTGGCATACTAGGATGCTCGTTGAAAATAGCGGCTGGCACTTTTCATTTGAGAATGACTTGATAGTATCCATGCTTGCACAACTAATGAATTGCTCTCGTGCTTTGTCTCTATTATGATTTTTTCCTTCTGAATATAACACTATGTAACCCACTAGTTGCTCTTGCTTTGACAGAACTCGTCAGTCTCTCATGGTGTTGATCCAAACTGTATTGTTGCAGGTTGCATATGATCACACTATCGTGATTCCCATCACCGCCTCGTGGTTGTCCATTGACAAACAAGGTGGAACAATGATTGTCGGTGTCAAACAAGCTTCTAGCTCCCCTTAATGGTGCCGAACAGTCTGCTGGGTAACGCCAAACGTCCTTGTTCCTTCGAAACAGGCCCCATCATTCAATAGGCATCCAAAAAGAGCTACCAAGAACTACTGTAAAGTGATATCACAAGCATGATACTAGGGGGGCACAAACTCAAGACAAAAGCCCTATATGTCTAAGCGTTTAATGGACTCCGGGCCCTGGACACGAGTAAGCCTTTGCTCAGCCAAAAACACCAAAAGTCCTAATATAAACAAAAACCTCTCGAGGACAGGTTCCAGAACTTGGGCTTGGGAGTACTCTTTGCTTAGGGAGGTAACACGAGTCAAGCGCTCGGTCGTTAGGAGTACGGCCCCGAGGGGTGTAAGACTCCACCCTTGGAGCAACGCTCTCAAAAAACTAACACGAGCTAAGCGCTCGGTCGTTAGGGGTATGATCCCGAGGGGTGTAAGACTTCACCCTTAGAGCAACGCTCTCAAAATACTAACACGAGTCAAGCGTTCAGTCGTTAGGGGTGCGACCCCGAGGGGTGTAAGACTCCACCCTTGGAGCAACACTATCAAAATACTAATACGAGTCAAGCGCTTGATCGTTAGGGGTATGGCCCCGGGGGTGTAAGACTCCACCCTTAGAGCAACACTCTCAAAATACTAACACGAGTCAAACACTCGGTCGTTAGGGGTACGGCCCCGAGGGTGTGTAAGACTCCACCCTTGGAGCAACGCTCTCAAAATACTAACGAGCCAAGCGCTCGGTCGTTAGGGGCACGGTCCCGAGGGATATAAGACTCTACCCTTGAAGCAACGCCTTCAAAATTTAACACGAGCATTGACCTCGGTCGTTAGGGGCACAGTCCCGAGGGGTATAAGACTTCATCCCTGGAGCAACGCCCTTAAAGTTTAACACGAGCATTGGCTTCGATCGTTAGGGGCACAATCCCGAGGGGTATAAGACTCCACTCTTGGAGCCACGCCCTCAAACATGGGTAAGCCTTTGCATGGCCAAAGCAACACACCCTTTGCTTAGGGAGGTGAATTTGACATTGGCAGAGACCCTGGGCATGGTGCAATATAGTTACAAGGGAAAGCTTGACCTAGTGTCAACATTCATGCCGGACATGAAGATCCTCTAAAAGAGAGTCTCATTGAAAGAGACTTGAATTACTTAACTACGGGTTTAATATATTCAAGACTCGGTTCGAGGTACGTTTTTATTTATTTCAATTAAATGTTATTTGAACATGATAGAAAAGGACAAGACTCAAGCCCAGTTGATCATCAAACCTGGGGCTGTCGAGGCCAAGGGACAGATATGTTCGGGCCTTCTTTTATGGACATTCTAAAGGAGCCAAAATTATTCGGTCTCTCTTTAGAGGACCCGATGTGTTCGGCCTTTCTTTACAAGGACAGATTTATTTTGATCTTTCTCAAGACTCAAGGTTATTTGGTTCCTCTTCAGAGGACCGACTATTATTGCTCTCTTTAGACTCGCTCATGCTTGACGTTCGTCACATTCAATTATAGTAATCCCTCTCGAGATTCTGATATTCTTATCTTCGTTGGAGTTGGATGTGGAGCACCTATGGTTATTCCATGCGGGATTTGAATCTCACTAGCAGACATTAAATAATTATCTTCGATACTCCTTGAGCCACTCAATAAATGACTTCGGGATCTCTTCATTTATCCCTTGTCTAGAAACTCATGTACTGAGACTTTTTACATAGAGACCTCTCAGAGATCAAGATTGTCTGGCCATGTTGTGGGGACACAATGTATTCAGTCATTTGAGCGCCAAATTTATTCGATCCTGCCTTGGACTTATTTGGTTTATCTTTGGAGGCCAAGTTTATGTGGTCTCTAATCAAAAGTTCAATAACATCTATCATTGATATCTGTTGGACATATTTGGCTTGGACGGTGCCTCATGAAAGTCTCATTTATAACCCGATAATTGCTTATCGTGCTTGGGATTCAATTATACTCATCCCTCGGATTTGATTGTGATCATCCTCTTTTAGACTTGGATATTATTGTTTCTTCAGATGAGTTGAACCAACTATAGTTGTTTCATATAAGATTCGGTTGTCCCTAACGGCGTCTTATAATTATAGTTGAGATTCTATTATTTGGCCCTTCAATGAGGCATCTCATTATTGCTCGACGTAAAGGGTTTCTTGTATGATATTTGACCTATGCATGCATTATTATCTATGGTATTCAGCCTCCGTGCTCGCTTGATAGCATATAGTGGGTTTCGGCATATCTCTCCCAAGTTGTGTATTACCAAAGAGGATGCGAATATTATCTCCAAAGACATGAATATTTCAAATAGCTTCCATCTTTTTCTAAGGGCGACAAAAGAAAATGAAAGTTAGGGGGCAGTTGGCGAGACATTTCTATCAAGTGGGTCCACCGGCCTCACTCCCAATGAAGGAATTAACAAATATCACAGTAGGACCCGCTACAATAAATAATGACAGGTAATGAGTATTTTGACAGTCTACCCCATGCCTATTTTCCAGCATTGGCGGCTGTACAGGCTATGGTAAGGAGCTATTTAATCTTCTCTATATATATGGGTGAATGACCCAAGAAAAGGAGGCCTCAAGTATGAGCATCTCAGTTCCATATTCCACACACACATTTTACCATTTCTTTAATTTTACACTAGCCTATTTATGTGTTGATCTACGATACTGACTTAAGCATCGGAGGGGCCTCCCTAGCTCAACGTCGGAGGTCCTTCTAACCTGTTTCTATCTTACAGCTCACAGATTGAATTATATTCGAAGACTAGAGGCGCTCCTCTAGATATCTCAAACTATTACAGGATTTATCCCGTGCATTTCCATGGATAAGTTTTGACCTTTGGGAGAGCTTGAACATTCCATATTAGTTTCCACAGATCTTTTGGGACTTGATAAGATGACGATGGTCCTCTGGGCATTTGTTTCATTCTGGACTTGGGCATAAATCCACTCTTGACCGAATAAAAGCCCTTTTTTAGTATGAGTCCATCTCACTGTATCTTGCTGGATTGTGTGGCTGAGAAGAATGGCAAGAATGACAGAGGCAATCTCGGGTATGAAAGATGCAGAAACCAAGGGTAAATTCCAAAACCTTGAGTTCTGTTGTATCAGCTCCTGTACCTTTGTGACATTGCTATTGAAGGTATTATGCATGTTTTTGTAACCAGGGACCCAGCTACAATTCCATATATCAACCTTGCTTCCATCACCTATTTGCCAAAAACATCCAGATTTTAAGAGATCTCTTCCTTCTATAATCCCTTTCCATATCCAAAAGTCCGTAGCTTTCGTTTTTGCCTGCCAGAAATCATGACCTACATGATATTTTGCCTTCAAAAATTGTGGCCATAAGGAAGACGGTTGCCGTGTTAACCTCCATGCCTGTTTTGCTAGCATTGCCTTATTGAAAACACTCAAGATCCCTATATCCCTTGCCCCCATCCATCTTCCCTTTTGTCATTTGGCTCCAATGAATTCCCCTTTGCCCCCGAAGATTTGCTCCACCAAAACCTTTTGATACACGATGTAAATGCACGGGATACTCGATGAGAAATTCCCCTTTATCCCGTGCATTTCTCATTAAGGCAGTGGATTTATTAAGAAACTTTTCTTTCCACCCAGCAACCTTATTTAATATCCTATCCTTTAGCCAATTCAACACTTGCTTTTTGGACCTTCCCCACTCAATTGGCAGCCTCAGGTACATCTCAGTTCTCTATAGAAAAGGTACCCTGATATTTCTTGCTGGACTTCCATTGGAGTGTTCTTGCTAAAGATCACCCCAGACTTGTTAAGATTCACCAATTGTCCTGAAGTATAGCAGTACCATTTTAAGATTTCCATAAGTCTTTGACTTTCAGCTCTTGTTGCTGCTGAGAAGAACACTGCATCGCCCGCAAAAAGGAGGTGAGAGATAGCAGGGCATTCATGTTGAGCTTGATTCCTTTTAGTGTTTCTTCTGCCATGACCTTCTTTATCAAAGATGTTAGACATTCTGTAACCAGCAGGAAAAGATAAGCGGACAATGAATCCCCTTGTCTTAGTCCCCTAGTAGGATTAACCTTCACTGCTCTTTCTCCATTTACAATAACATTGTATCTTATCGTAGTCACCCATTGCATTAAAAGACAAACCAACTTTGGCTCAAAACCCAACCTTTTTAACAAACCCTCTAGGAAATCCCATTCCACTCAGTCATAGGCTTTCGACATGTCTAGCTAAGGGCCATTTGATATTTGGTTGTCTTTCTTCTTTGTCTCATTGAGTTCAACATTTCTTGGGCAATAATAATATTATCTCGGAT